ACTAAGAGAATAATAAAACCAGAGTCCTGTTTGCTAAATTGCAGGGGTGGTTTATTTGGGGATAGCAAGGATTATCACTTAATGGTGGCTTTTTTGAAGTGTTAAATGGGAAAGCAAATCTTAGGAGAAATGGACTGCTGTGTGGCTTGATTGAGAGTCTCTTGCAGCAGAAGAATCTAACGTATGAAGTATTTTTTTCAAATTTATTTGTACATAGATGTACAAATGGTATGCAACTGAGCATTATCTCCTCAATAAAACCTGAAAGACTTATGGGGAGATTTCTACCCTTAAATAATGAAAGGTGTTATCCTTTTTTTAGTATTGGCCTAGAGATTGCATGTTCTTTTGTTAATTTCTTAACCAGAATTACCAGTTTGCCAGTGAGCCAGACTGCTTAGATCTACAGTACCTTCTCTTTTGAAAAGCCTGTAACCTGAGAAGCCAAACTGTGATCAGGAGGAGCAGAGAGTCTGGTAGTTCAAGGTCATTAGATATTTGAGGTATTCTAGCTAGGCTGAGGTGCCAGTGTCCATCTCCTGCCAGGACCACATGGCCTCTTGGACCTCTTGGGCCTTTTTTTCTGGGAGAAGAATTAAGATCATAGCAAACATGTTAAAAGATGAACCTGCTCTCCTTAAGTGAGATCAAAATCTTTTCCTTAAAAACTTTTTTTTTTCAGATTTTATTTCAATTGCATTCATATTTTAGGGCAAGAATAAATATTTTTCTTCCCTCTATTTCCCACTTCTCCACTCTTTTTAATCTTTTATGGGAAAAGTAATAATTCTACAGAGTGAAAAATTGAAATATTACAACAATTATATATTCAAAATAAAGCTTCCTTCTCCTGTCATTTCCTTTCCCAAGAAGAGACTACTTTCAACAGCTTACCTGTCTGTCTTTGTAGAGGTATTCTATTCATCCTTTTTTAAAAAGCATATATTTTACAGACCATTGTGTACCTTATTTTTTCTACTTGATATGACTTAGAGATAGAAAGAGATACTACATGTTTAAGTAAGCTCTTTCTGTGTACATTTGCCATTAAATTATATACAATTACTACTAGAGAATTCTGTTACCCACATAATATCTAAGTATAGAGGAAATTTTTATTTCCATGGTTTTCACATTTTTTTAGCCACACCCTTTCTCCCTGCAATTAAAAAAAAATCACAGAATTCATAAAGTCAGCTAACTTTCTGTAGTTCTACACCCACCAAATCTGTACTGTACAAGACATATGAGAGCCCTGGGACCCTCTTGGGATATATTAGTCGGGGATAGGCCAAATACTGTCCCAGTCTCTCCAACGAGTCTGTTTCTGAGCTAGGCTGTCCCTGGAGATCTGGCAAGCCACTAAATGTCAGGTCTGTTCTGTTCTTCTCTAAATAGGTTTCCTTTCCTCTTGAACTTCCAAAGTCTCTCAAGATGTTAAATCAGGAGAACTCTTTCTATCTAAATCTGTAGTCCATGGGCATGATGGTCAGGGCTTGTTCACAGCTTGGTACCCTCACAGACTTTTTGTGGACCCTGCCTAATGGCCCCTTTTTATTCATCAGCCTTATATTCTGAGAGGAATTTCAACCACTATACACTCTACAGTATTAGCTAGTGGTCATTTGCTTTATAAAAATGGCGGGGCTGGGGATATGGGGGGATACTTCCATTGTACCCAGTTAACATTCTGTACAGATCGTATTTTCAAAATGTTTAACTTTTATTAACTTAAGAATGTTACCCAAAAAATCAGCACATTAAGTAGATATGGAAAAAAGAAATATTTAGCTTATATATATTTTTTAGAAACTAGCTAACCCAAATTATTCTCAGCGTTTCTCGTAAGTTATTTCTAAATTGGCAACACTATTCTTTCAGTTGTAAAATTCTTTGAAAGGAACATTCAAATTTGCAAGTGGGTAGAGCATTAACTTTACAAATAGATTATGAAGTTTTTTGTAGTACTGTTTAAATGTATATGAAACTTTAAATACCTGTAATAAACATGTAAATATCAGGGAAAATTCTAGGTACTACTTTCATGAGATTATTGGAAAGGGAGTGATTCTAGGTTGGATTCCTGGATATTTTTATGGTTGTCAGTCACTTTTTAGTTCCACAGAGTCTTCATACCACCAGAGGGCGCTGTTGATAGTGAAGTTTTTGAATGAAGAAGTTGGTGAGCAGGGTTATGATTGGCAAGCAGCTTGTGTTATCTGTGACACATCAGTCATTTCCTTGTCTGATTTTTTATCTTACTGGCTCTTCGCCCCCAACATACATTTCCCATCCATGTTTCATTTCAGATATTCTTCCCAACACACGATGCGTTTCTCTGCCTAGTCTTTTCACATCCTGCTCTCATCACTACTAACATTTGTTACCCTGTTTACATTTTCTTGTGACTATGAAGTTTCTGAAACTCTTTCTGTGTTATAGCAAGGAGTCTTCCTTGGCATTTATGAACTCAGCTAGTTTTCATGTATCAATTGAAACGCATTTTAAACCTAAATACTTCAATTATGTTTGCTTTTCTAACGAAGCCATAAAGATTTCCTCCTATTCTTCTGGCTTATAGAAGGTGGTAACAAACAACAAAGAAGAGATGCTAGCTTGTACTTAGCATCCAAGCTAATGTTGTTCATATTGTCTTATTAGAACACCTGGAGAGTGCAAGTTCTAACTCAGGTATACCAGCTGCACAGAGAGGTGAGTTTGTCTATTAAGCAAATAGTCACCAGAGGTGTGAAATTCTAGTTTGGTGGTGCATACAATTAGACATTGAAGAAATGCACTGGACAATGGAATAGACACAAAATGTGGCTTTATTGCAGGTAGAATGTGTTTTTAAGTTAAACTAATATTTAGCTTTTTAGCGTTTTTATAGTTTCTTAGTTTCTAAAAATAAAATTTCCGCTCTTTAACATTTTTTTCAGCTTAGCAGTAGTAAAGTTACTCTTTTTAAAAGAGGGTCTTGTTAGGCTCACACCTGCTACAACTTCATATTATCAGAGGCTTTGTTGCCAGAAGTCAGACGCAAACACAGTATTGACACAAATGACCCTTTGGTTTTCCTGTTGATGATGGTGGAAAGAAGATATTAACAGATAAGTCAAGTAGTGATTTTTTTCATGTATTTTTTAACATTCAGTTCTCTTTTATTATTATTTTAAGGTAAAACTAGGGAAGGGGACTGTTCACAAAGTTTGGATTATAAATTAGAGCTTTAAAATGAAAACAACTGAAACATTATAAATTGAAAAGAGTGGGAAATAAAGATAGTTTAGCACAGTATGTGGTCCTTTCCTCAATATCTATGTTAGACCCCACTTCGCTCAACTGAGACATCACCAAAAGCGCTCAGCCAGCTAACTGAGAACCTGGTTTTGGACAAATCAGTGTCTAAAGCTTGACTCTTTACTGTCTCTTTTATCTGACTTGAAAAGGACCATTCTTTTTCTAAGTTACAGTTAAATTACATCATCGGAAGGAGTGTTAAGACAAGTAAGAGACATCATCCATATTTTTTCTTTCTTTTTTCTTTTTTTTTTTGTTTTCTATCTGTGTTTTCAGCAACGTCAGTTGATTACAGTTCCTTTGCAGACAGATGCAGCAGCTGGATAGAGCTCATTAAACTGAAAGCTCAGACCATAAGGCGTGGATCAATTAAGACAAGTAGGCGGATGTTTCTACCACATTATGATGATCTGAGAAGCATATCCCTGATTTCCCGGTGGTGAAGGCTAGATCTTACTGCCTAGTAATAACATTGCCAATCCATCATGTATTGGAGTGTGAAAGCTGCAGACTCTAATGGTTATTTAGAAAAAAGTTATTGAAAGGCCTTTAGATGTGTTAATTTTAACATGTAGAATTGTGGTTTTAAAATTTTACTTTTTGTGAAGGTATTCTTAAAAGTATAAAATAGATATTATATCCTTCTAGATGAAAGGAAATTACCAGCTCTCTTATTGAAGAGACATTCTTCCAGGACCCAAGGTACTATTTAGTCTATGGCATCTGTCAGTCAACCAAGTGTGATATACAGAGGGCTAACTGAATAAAGTGTTTCTGGAGAGAAAGCATTTCTCTTATATCTTGCTACTAGAATCAGGATCATAACTTACATGTTCTTTATCTATACCCATGTGTTTTGGAAGATTTTCAGGTAAATGTATTTCAGTGAGTTTATAGTATATTAAAAGGGAAAGAACTGTATTTTAGAGGAAAGAACATAGGATATGGAACCAGCTATTTCTGGTTTTGAATCCTAAAAGTGCCATTTTATTAGCTGTGTGACCTTGGGCAAGTTATTTAACTTCTGAGACTCCGTTCCCTCATGCATAAAATTGGGATGATGATAAACTATGTTGCTGGGTTGTTGATTAAGGATTAGATCTCTATATATTTATGTCTGGTTTATGGCAGTTATTTAATAAGTGGTAGCTATTATTATTTGTTAACAAGCAGCATTTAATAGCCAAGGTCATTTGTTAAGTTTTTTTAAAATTAGGAGCTTATCAGAAAGGTTTGGAAAAGAAATACATGACAACTAGTTAACATAAGGTTTATCTACAAGTTGACAATGATGAAGTCATCTGAAAAAGATGGAAAAACCGTACTGGGAAATATAACAACTTTCACACTCTCTTTGTAATAATTTGTTTCTACAGCAGATAATTTTAATGCTCTGCCGCTTTTTCTTTTTCTTCACTTTATAACCAATCATTGTGTGTGTAGCTACACTGCATCAACATTTTCTTTTGCAGGAATGCCATTTTTCTTCCAAAAGAATTTCATTCCAGCATTTCCTCTCATGTTTTTTCTTTCTCTGTCTTTTTTGATTGCATGCAATGCATGATAATTTCTTTTCTTTCATGACATGGCTTAGCCTCACAGACAGCTGAATGTTGTCACCACTTATTTGGAAACGTTAGGGAATAATCGAGTTACCAGCGTCTGTTGTTAAGTGTTTTCTCCTCTTTCTCCAATTTTAGCTGTGACAGTTGAAAAAGCAAGTCCACTGGGTGAAGGAAATTTCCGGAATCGTTCTGCTCCATCTTGTGCAAATTCCACAGTTGGGGTTGTTAAGATGACACCTCTTTCTTTCATTCCTGGTGCAAAAATAACTAAATATCTTGGAATAATTAACATGTTTTTTATTCGGGAAACGACATCTCTTCGTGAGGTAATTCTATAGAAATTATTTCATTGTTTTTGAAAATTTTCTCTAATTGATGATTTAGTGACAAAACCACACAAGCTTCAATTTTTTTTGCCAAAATAGCTTTCATATATATTTATATTTTATTTATTTATATTTTAATAACCTAGCTGGATTGAGTCTAGATTAGACTTATTTCATGTAGCAGCTAGTATTATCACAACAGTTGTGTTAGGTTTAAATCTGTTTATTGTTAGAAATTTTAGTTCCTTACCATGTAGGAAATAAAGCAAATACATATGTATGTTTGATTAGAGGTTAAAACCGCTTGGCTTTCTTAATAGTTATTTGCTTGAGAATTATAAATAGCAATTTGTAAGGGATCACATTTAGAAACAGTAGAGGACTACATTATAAATTTATGTCTAGGGAAATATTTTATGTAATTTATCTCTTGTTTCTCTGAAAAATGAGGCTGCTCATTTTTCAGTCTGTCCAGCAGGTATATGAAGATACCATTTCTTCAATCTTAAATCATACTGTGTATCATTAAACTTTAAATTTTTTTGAGTAACAAGTTGTAATATTTTACCTGATTTGGTTAAAGTTCAGAATCCAAGTCAGCATGTTATATCTTTAGTAACACAGGAATTTAAACATAAGAAAAAAGAAAATTATATTATTGTATCTTTTGTTATAAAACAGGACTGCTAAACACATTAATGTAGTAAATAGGGAATATTTAAAAATTACTGTGGTATAAAATTCAATAATCTCTTCAAATTTTACTTTAGCAGCAGTTTTTATTTTTAAAAGTATGTTTATTATAATGATGACTTAGCTGTACCTTTTTTCCCATTGTTTCACCAGTAGTATTTCTATATTTTCTTATAAATAACAGCCTGCATTTCTTAGAAATATTAAGCTCACCATCCTGCACCTAGCACAGTGCCTTGGCCCAGAGCAAACACAGCATGTTTTTGTATAAATGAATGGCTCTGATAGGCTGTTTAATTAATTAGATGGATGCTTCTCCTAAATGAGTTTTTAAATCACATTCTTATTATGTTGAGATAAGGAATAAACTATTATTATCTTTATCAAGATGTTCTCAAAAACCTAACTTTTAATGGAGAATTTAAATAGATGACACTCTAAGTCTGTTAAAATTTGACAATGAAGGTTTGCTGTGAGAAGCTGGCATAGATTATGAATTGAATTTTTTAGTTGTTCCTGGTAGCACATGGATATTGCATTAATTTGAATCCATAAAATTATATTTCCTAAGCTTTCTTGACTACTTAAGCATGTAAACCCCAAAATGTTGCTTCATGTTTGATTTCCCTTCAACAGAGGCCTACAATATCAAGTGTGGCACAGTGTTCCAAATGTATTCATTGCCTGATAAGTTAACTTCTTACAGTCAATTAATATTTTAAAAATTAACCCTCCATAGCTATTCTGTCATCAGGGTTTCTTGACTTAATAGGCTTCTTTGATTTAAAAGTAAAAGAAAAACATGTGTTGAGCTGTGCTTGAGTTGGAGGCAGCCTGAAACTTATCTTAGTTTCTTAATTACAAAAAGAGATTCCTTTACAAGACTATATGTAGGATCCTCTGGCTTTTCAGAAAGATAATGATCTAATAAAGTAGTTTTCTAACACTGTATTCATTTTTTTGTCTTAACTTCCAGTTAAGTTGGAAATTTCCTCCTAACTGTAAATAACTTTCCATTTAATTTGTGGAATCTAGATTGAAAAGCATTTTAAGCTATTGACTAGCCTTTGTTTTCTGTTTTGCTTGCTTTAGAATATGGACAAAGTTCCCTGAACTATTGGACTTTATTCCTTGACAATTGTGTATGGAATACCTACTATATGCACCTGTTGAACTAGGTGTTAGCATATGGTAGCATACAAAACACATGCAGTCCCTGACCCAATAGAATTTAAAGCCTAGTAAAACTAGAATATGGTGGTCATCAACAACTAATCATATAATGGGTATGTAGTTACTAGTGAGAGTAAACAATATGAGGAAATTGAACAGAGCTATCAGAGAGTATAATATTAGGGAAACTTAATTTAGACTTGACAGGGAAGTTATCTCTGAAGAAGTTACATGTAAACTGGGACCTGAAGGATTACGAGTTGCCCGGTTGGAAAATTGAGTGAAGAGCCTTCAGGAACAAGATGTGCAATGATCCCAGGCCAGGAAAAGCCCTAGTACATTTGAGAAACTGGAAAAAAAAGGCCAATGGGACTGAAACGTTGTTCAGAATGAGAGATACGGATAGCAGGGAAGTTTTATTGCTTTTACCACCAACTTATTGTACTGATGATGAACAAGATTTGGTAGAGATGTTGAAGGTGAGGCACAATTTGAATTCATTCTCTGCCATTTACTAGTTGATCATAGCTAGTAAGTAGTATGTTTCATAGCTGTATCTGTCATAGGCAGATTAAAGATTCTCTGAGCTTCAGTTTCATCATCTGTAAAGTAAGGATAGTAAATTCCTGTCCAAACATGTGTTCCTTAAAGGTGTATTTGTTCAAACATGCAATAAATCCCCATTATGAGGAAAATTGAAATTGTCAATTTTAAGATAATTTTAAGATAAAATTAAGATAATTTCATCTGTTTTAATGTATCTTCTTTGGCTGGGCACATTGGTTCACACCTGTAATCGCAGCACCTTGGGAGGCTGAAGCAGGCGGATTGCTTGAGGCCAGGAGTGGAGGCTAGCCTAAGCAATGTAGTGAGACCCTCCCTGTCTCTACAAAAAGAAAGAAAGAAGATTGAAATTTTACATACATATGGAATGATTTTCTTGTGTGTTACTGTTTAGGAAGGAGGAGTCAGTGGTTTTCTCCATGCTTTTATTGCTGAAGTGTTTGCAATGGTGAGAGCTCATGTTGCTGCATTAGGAGGGAATGCTGTTGTCTCCTACATAATGAAACAGTGTGTCTTCATGGAGAATCCAAATAAAAACCAGGTAAGATGCAGTAAAAATCCCTGGTTGGGGGGACCTCGAGAATTTCTTCAATGGCTTCCCACCTTTGACCCCCCTTCAAAAGAGAATTGCTCTTCAGAGCTCTTTATTCTAGATGCTTTAAAGATATTTTAATAAACTTACTAATAATCATGATCACACATAACTTAGATGCTGTTTTTACATCCCAGGTGACTTGTTATTATTCTTAATCACTTCTGGAGTTTCTGCTCCTGAATTACTGTTCCTACCATCTTCTTGCTGGGTGTTTGGAATATAGTGGTGACTAACTAAGGAGAGCTAGGGACGCCCTTTGGTTTGGACTGTGGTGCTGTCCAGCTTTAACTCTCTTGCTAGGAGAGACTATATCATGATAGGGCCAGACAGACTACTTGTTTATTCCTAATAAGTAATGTAATTCTGTTAAAGGGGATAAAAGGGATGTTGTTAGGTTAAATTTTAGAATATATTTATCAGTTTTGCATTGATAGTAACTCATTTAAATTATTAAAGATTTTTTTTAAAAAATTAAATAACAGAGTCTCTGAGATATCATAAAGTCAGTACTTCCCTAACTACTCCTCTTGGCACACAGCAAAAGTTGTTTGTATGGCACACTTGTGAATGGAAGACGCAGCTTGTGGCTCGTGGTAATTGGCCCTGTGTTTCAGGCCCGGGGGACCATCCTCAGAGTAGAGGATATCTTGGCAAACACAGAGCTTAGAAAGTTCTAATATAGACTAATTAGTCATCATTTGATCAGGAGTAAGAACGAATAGCTGTATGTATGTATATGTTTTGCTTCTAGCTGTACATTTAGATAATTATAACCAGAGAAAAATCATTTAAGTTCTCAGTACCATTGTTTCATTGATTAAATTATCTTACAGTGAAAATGAGATGTTGTCATTACTGTGTAAGTAGTTTGAAAAGACATAATGGAAATTCAAAATGGTTTTAGCTTTATTTATCTTTTTCAGAGCTAGGATCTTGCTATGTTGCCCAGGCTATACTCAAACTCCTAGGTTCAAGCAGTTCTACCCACCTCACCCTCCCTCTTAGCTGGGTCTACAGGCACATGCCACCATGCCTGACTGGTTTCAGCTTTGTTTTGAAATCATTAGGTTTGATCAGTTTCTTCAGAAGAGCACTTCACATTTATGAAATTCTTTACAAATTGTCTTGATTGTCATATATGAGGGTATATTATACTCCATTAATAAATGTTGAAGAAAAGTAGTGATAAATGAAACTGTGAGACAACTTCTGATAAATTTGGCAATAGAAATTGTATAGAGTGGTCAAAAAGGGTGCATAGAGGAGAAGAAAAACCAGAAAGGAACAGAGGGGTAGAAGGAGAAACGAGAGGCTGAGAACTGCCTCAGCACAGGTCACTTGAAAGTAGATGTAGAATGAAAACTCGAGAAAGCATATCCTGGTCAGTATTATTTTTAGCAAACAGTTTTATAATCAGGTCATAAAGCATCTACTAGATCTTGAAAACAACTGGACACTTCTTTATAATAATTTTATTTAGTGTAATGGATTTTCCCAGTCCTATAAAAGATGCTTTTTGCTTAATTATTTTGTATTTGAGATTGAGATTTGTAGTTTTGGGTTTTTCTTTGTGTTAAATGTATATGATTTGTTCAACTTAATTAGCACCTTGACAAATGTCACAAAATCAGTGTATCTAAAGCAGACTTATTTCTGTGCTTCAAGTTGGTTATCTGTAACACTGGGTTAAAAATTGGGATAGTTGGGCAACCCCCTCGGGTCCCCTCCCACTGTGGAAGGTTTTCTGTTCTCTATGTAATAAATTCTGCTTTCTCACTTAAAAAAAAATTGGAAAGTCATGAGTTAATATATGTGATGTACTTAGTGCCCTGTGGATAGTAAGTGCTATAAAAGTTATTTCTTTTTAAATGCTTAAAAGTCCTTAATGACTGACTTACAGGATAAAGCTTGTACTTCTTATGTCACACAAGGTCCTCCACACTCTCGGTCTTCCTACCTTTTCAGACTCACCTCCTGCCTCCCAACATATACATATCCTCTACTTCAAGTGTATTGGACTGTTTAGTTTTCCAAATGAACTGTTTTTTTTTTTTCACTTCTAGCACATTGTAAGGTGTTGATATTAACTCCAGCTTGAGGGTGAAAAAACTGAGATTTAGAGAATTTACATGCTCAGTATGAGGCTATAAATAAAAAAGCTAGAATACACCCAAGATTCTTTGGTTTCAGATGCTGTGGGACTATCCACCACCAGCCCTCCCCTCTCTGCCAGATAATAACTGTCAATTACTGATTGCCGCTATGTGTTCACATCATGTCAGGTGCTATGCTTTATGTCATTTGGCTTTTTCTACTTTTATGTGAGATCTCTATACACAACAAACGTAGAGAATTGCCTAACAAAACACCCTTGCACATAAAATAAAATATTAAAAATATGGTTGAAGCCTCTATAGACCTATTCCTCTTTCCACTGAGTGACCATTCCTAATTTCATTGTCATTCCTGTGCATACTTTTATAGCTAAACAATATCTATGTAAGTAATTATACTCTTACTTTGTGTTTAAAGTTTCTTAAATGTATTTTTTGAACAGGTGGTATGTGATTGAAAATCCAAAAAGTGTATAAATGGGAAAGACTCTCCCTGTCTTGTGTTCCTGCCAAGCAGTTTTCTTCCCCATATGCAACCAAAAGTATTAGTGTTTTTTAAATGTAACTTCCAGAGTTATAACATTCCAGAGTTCGTAACCAGAGAGATTTTATTTGTTTGTTTGTTTGTTTGTTTATTTTTGAGTCAGACTCTCACTCTGTTCCCTAGGCTGGAGTGCAGTAGAACAATCACAGCTCACTGCAACCTCCAACTCCTGGGCTCAAGCGATTCTCTTGTGTCAACCTCCTGAGTAGCTGGGACTACAGGCATGCACCACCATGCCTGGCTAACTTTTAAAAATTTTTTGTAGAGGTGAGGTCTTGCTAGGTTGCCCAGGCTAGTCTCGAACTCCTGACCTCAAGAGAGCCTCCTGCCTTGGCCTCCCAAAGTGCTAGGATTGCAGTCATGAGCCACCACGCCCAGCCTCCAGAGAGCTTTTTAGATACTTAAAAATCATAAATATGGGGGTGCCAAAAAAAGTGTACATGATTTTTAAGAGATGTTATCTATTGATCTAAGTATTACTTTTTGAAATTGAATTGAATTACGATAGCAATGTGTAGTATGGCATACAGTCAGCTATGCTTCCACCATTTTCTTTGACTGTGCTGACTGTCACATGGTGACACTAGCATTCATTTGATTAATGCCATTTTTGAGCAAATGTCATGTGCATACATTTTTTGGCACCTCCTGTATTTGTGTGTATATAAAATATGTATATATATTTGTATACATACATATTATATGTATACATATATTATCTATGTATAGATACATATTATATATATATGCATACATATATTCTTTTATCCCCTTTTTTTATATAAATGGTAGCATTACTGTACATACTGTTCCTCATCTTGCTCTTTCACTTAATTTTTCTTGGCAGTTGTTTTATTTCAGGGCATAAAGATTATCCTCATTGTTTGTTACAACCATCTAACACACCATGGAATGGGTCAACCAGAATTTCTTTAACTAGTTCCTGCTAATGAACATTTAGGTTGTTTCAGTGAATATTGTGCTAATACATAAAATGCCACAAAAACATTGTGAGGCACAATCCTCCTTAGGGAGGATTCCTTCAGACAGTGTTGCTAGGTCAAAGCAGTACTTTTGTAATTTTCTTAGATATGGCCAGAGTTCCCCTCCATTCAGATTATTTTGCACATTCTTTAACTTTATACCATTATTAAGTGGTTTTGTAGCGTGTGTATTAGTTTGCAAATTGTTTTTGTTAATTCATCATGACATTTATGAGATTTATACAGATCGATAGCATTTTAGGTCATTTTTCACTTTTATATAGTATTTCAGGCATGAAAATTTCAAAATTTATTTTCATTTCACTTTTGATGGGCTTTTAGGTTTTCAATATTTTGCTGTTGTAAACATACTTCGCTGAAAAAGTCATGTATTAATCTTTGTTGTATACATATCCAAGATTTCTCTAGGAAACATATATATGGAATTGGTGCATCACAGAGTATGTTCCTTTTCTGCTTTCGGAGATAGTGCCAAATTGCTTTCCGAGGTGGCTGCACTTCCCCCAGCAATGTTAATGTGACTAACTCTTGGTCACATCTAACTTTTACTTTTTTTTCTTTTTTTTTGCCAATATATATGAAGTGTTCTCTTGTCATTTTAGTGTATATATCTCTGATTAATAGTGATTAATAATTTTTTTTTTTCATATGTCAGTGGGCTTTTTGTGTTTTCCTTTCCTGTCAATTGCCACCTTACGCTTTTCTCATTTTTCCGTTGGGGTTGTCTGTCTTTATACTAATGATTTATAAACCTATGCTTTGGTTATACATCTCCCCTTGTGTAACAGAAGCGTATAAGCATATTGTTGAGTGTAACTGAACCTGTCCTGGTTGTTGTTCTTATAGGCACAATGTCTTATAAATGTAAGTGGTGATGCGGTTGTTTTTGTTCGTGAATCTGACTTGGAAGTGGTGTCAGCTCAGCAACCTACTGTCAATTGCCAGCCATCATGTACTGAAGAAGTTACAACCTGAAGAAAAAAAAAAGAGCTCAACTAATGAAATTCATCTGTTTCCATTGTTTTGTCATTGATTACTTTTGTAGACTCAAAATTGAACTTAATTTGAGATAATTCAGAAAGAATTGAGTAGATTTGATTTGTCTGGAATCTCTAGGAGGCATGAGAATGTTCTAACCTTGAGGCTTTGTTTGCCTAGTCTACACAGACAGGCCTTGTGTAATCTTGACCCTTCAGTAGGTTAAGATAAATTTGTACAAGAAGTGTAGCAAAGATAGAACTATTTTAATTTATGTTGATTTTAATAAAATCAATTTAAATAATGCAATGGGAAGAAGATCAAGAAACTCTACCGTGATATAATTTAGAAAAAACTCAGCAAGTGATTCACTGATTGTTAATGCATAAGTAATCTGATTCGAGAAATATGTGGGAACAATGAAGAAATGTTTTCAGAAAACTTTGAGTTTCTTACCATGTTTTATTTTGATGAATTTGGTGACAATTGAAAAGAAAAAGTGTTTCAGCCATCTTTTAACAAGAAGTTAGGATTCTGTAACTTGTTTCTGTAATGCATCCTAACTACTGTAAAAGAAAAAGCTGGTGTCCTTTAATTCAAAGTTTTAATAATATTACTAGGGAGGGAGGAGAAAAATTATATAGTTATATAACTGGCCACATTTGAGTTAGTATTTATTTTGTCTAGACAAGGCTTGACTTCAGCTGGGAAGAAAATGTTGGTGAATTTTGTTGAAGCAGTAAAGATACATTGATCTAGTAGAAACAAAATTATTTTTTAATAAAATTATATTCACTCCTAATAAATGGGATTTTAGTAATATCTTTGGGAATTTTTTATGGTGAGTTAGACTGTTCTTGGCATAGAATGTGGAAATGTAACTTGAATGTAAATATGCTGCAAAGGGTCGAATGTATACATAGAAGTACTTTTTCTGTCAATGCCAATGCCCATTGTAAACGAACCTTAAATATTACATTCCTCCTTTGCACAACAAAATTTCTTTATAAAACTCATGATTTTGTTTCCCCAGGACAACAAACTGCCCTTAAGAATCATGTCTTTGTTACCACAGGTGTCAATATTTTTCTGTATTTTGTTTATAATTTTATTTTTTAAATAAAATGTTTACAAACTGGAATATTCCTAAATTTCTCTTTTACCTCTGTGATGTAGTACTATCAGTTTTCTGAATCACTTTGCATCTGATTGCCTTCATTCATTCCTTCAGTCAGCAAACATCTAGTGAGCACCTATCAATGTAAGCCTCTGGTCTTAATTTTGGAGATGTGTGTGTGTGTGTACATGTAATTGTGGCTCTTTCATTGTTTTGGATAGGTAGATATTGATTCAACAACTATTAAAGCCTGCTAGATTGCAATGCAGTTTTAGGTAGTGAATAAAAAACACATAAATTCTTGCTCTCAGAGCTTATGGTCAGTGGCTACACAAATAGATAATCTGTGTGATATGGCATGTAGTACTTTAATAATTACTAATATTTATTGAATGTTTACTATGTGCCAGCTAGTCTAATACATATATATTTGTATTAACTTTTTAAATCCTTATAGAAGCCCTATTGTTCAGCACCATTTTATAGTTGAGGAAGCTGAATACAGAGTTTGTGTGAATTGTCCAGTAACACAATGGACAGTGGAGCCAAGACTCAAGCACAGGCAATTTGACGGTGAACCCTACACTAATATTCAAGTAAATATGCATGTAGCTTGGAATGAAGGTAGCTTCCCAAAGGAGATGGCATTTCAGCACAGTCAGGAAAAATATTCCACTGGAATTGAATATTGGTTTCCATCCGTACATACAGCCATTTGTCTATCCAACCAATAGTGATTGCATTGTATGTTCCAGGGTCCTTTCTAGGCAAAGGAATAATTAGCTATCACTAATGTTTTGTGCTGTGTCCTTTGTTAACACATTATTGTCAATACTTAAAATAACCCATAAAAGAAGCCGGGCGGCGTTATCTCCATTTTAGTATGAACAATTGTATTCTCATCCTGAGACCCAGACTAATGTCTTCAAAGCTGGAGTTTCCTTAACCACTCAGACTTGGGCCTGTTTGCTCCAATGGGCAACTTTTGGAGTACAAGCAACCCCTGCCAAGATTGTCTCTTTCCTGAAAGGCTAATGTTACCCCATGCTCCAAGAGCTGAAGTTCACTGTAGATTCCCCGAGGAACACAACCCTCTGAAATGGACATGCTGTGACTTACTCTTTAGGAGATACTGAAGCCAGTTTCCAGTATCTATAGCATTCCTCATATCTCCATCCTTCATCATTGCTCCAAAGGTAGACTGTGTAATTTAAGCAATACTTTGCTAGAGTTGCCAAACTTGCTGTCCTACTTCCTGCACCTCCTACTCTTCCATGATCCATGACCATCTGGCTTTTATCGTCTGCTCTGCCCCTGAATTTGAACATGCCAGGGATACAAGTATCATACTGCAGAACTGGATAGTTGGCAAAAGGTTGTCTGTACATACACGTAGTTTTTTTCATAAATACATAAATAGGATCATATATAATTTTTAGAGTGGTTTTATTTTTTACCTCTTCGCCTGGCTTTCTCATCTTCCCCATGACATCACTTCTAATCCATGTTAACAACCTTGTATGTGTTCTAACATTTAAAGAATATTAATGAAGTATAATTTACATTCAGTAAGATTAGTGTATTTCAAGTGTACAATTTAAGGTTTGACAAATTCAGTCCTGTAGCCAAGATATAGAACATTTCCATCACCAAAAAGCTCCCCTTGGATCCCTTTGCTGTCAATCTACTCCCCCTTCCAAGTCAATGGGATTTTGTGCTTAGCAACTTTTAGCATAATGCTTTCAAGATGCATCCATGCATGAACAACATTTTTGGCTAGTGTGAATAATAGAGCTATTTTTCATTTGAGTTAAGATTTTTCATTGAAAATTGAAGTTTCTGTTCTATGGAGCTGGCTTTTTCTTGTTGATATATAATCTGCTATGTGTGTGACAAATTTTCCCCTTGTTTTGATGTCTATCCACACAGTGTATGGTAACTTTTTACTATATCTAGACTTTTAATTTTATTATGGACAATGTGACTATCTTTTCTCTTTTTAAATTCTCTCAGTTCAAATGATCTCCCTTCTTCCCTTGATTTTTATTGGCTATCTTGAAGATTCATCAATTAAAAAAAAAATCTTAGGTTCATCAGTTTTAACACATCCTGAATTGCTCTCATCTCAGTAGCGCCCCATCAAACAGTATCCTTCACTATTCATTTCAATAAATGCCGTCCCTACTTAACTTGAGTAACTTGAGTCAGAAGCTTGAGAGATCCAAAGACTATACTGTTTCCACTACACCCCCGAGTCTCATAGAACCGGATGCATAAAGATGTGGAAGCTTGACAATGTGTGTTGTGTGGAAGTTCTGGACCCTTTTCCCCAGAAAAAGAGCATACATGTGAACTTTTGAATACTATTTTAGGAGATTTACTGAAACTGCTTCATTGACCCCGGGTTGAATAAGGAGCCACGTGAAGAAAAATGTTAGGAATTATTAGGTAAATGCCATCCCAAAAAGTTTTTTTTTTTTCTGGTAGAAAAGCCAAGACATTATAAAGACTAGATATGATAGATTAGATAGATAGATAGATAGATAGATAGATAGATAGATAGATAGATAGAGTCTGTATATATATATATATATATTATATATGACATTTATTTTTTGGAAATGTTTTAATTGATAAAACTATATATTGTATACAACATGGTTTAAAACACACATTACAGAATGACTAGATTGAGTTAAACATGTTACATCATTTATATGTAAAATCGACTCTCAGCAATTTTTAAGAATAGATTATTGACTATAGTCACCATGTTGTACAATAGATTCCTTGAGCTTATTCCTTCTTTCTACTTGGATTTGTGATCCCTTTCACCAACATCTCTCCAACACCCTGCCCCTTGTAACCACCACTGTTCTACTTTCCACTTCTATAAGTTTAACTTTTAAAAATTCCACATATATTATGTGAGATCATGTGATATTTGTCTTTCTTGTCTGGCATATTTAATATAATGTCCTCCAGGCTCATCCATGCTGTTGAAAATGACAGAATTTTCTTTTTTACTGGATGATATTCCATTGTTTATATATAAAACCACTTTTTAAAAATCCATTCATCTATATGTGGACACCTACGTTGATTCCATATCTTGGCTATTGTGAGAAGCGCTGTAATGAACACGGGAGTGGAGACATTTCTCAGACATACTGATTTCATATCTTTTGGATATAGGCCCAGTGGTGGGATTGCTGGATCATATGGTAGTTCTATTTTTAATTTTTTGAGAATTCTCCAGACTGTTTTCCATAATAGCAGTACTAATTTACATTCTTACCAACAGTGTGCAAGGGTTCTCTTTATTTCCACATCCTCTCCAACAAAGACTATAATATAAAAATAAAATAAAAATGATTCCTCTGCTTTTTGAAAGTAAGAATGTTATGACTGCATCAATCCCTTTAAATAAACATTTGTTCATTAAAGTTTTTTTTAAGGCTATATTTTTAAATACTAAAAACATAATAAGTCGGATAGGCAGAATAATGGGCCCTCAAAGATATCCATGTCCTAATCTCCTGTGAATATGTTACATGACATGACTAAAGGGACTTTGCAGATGTGATCAAGGTTATGGACCTTAAGAGGGAGAAATTATTCTGGCTCATGTGGGAGGGTCCTAGAATCTAGTCACACATATCCCAAAAAGTGGAAAAGGAGGATGTAAGAGGAGGTCAGAGAAATTCGATGTGAGGATTCCACCTGCTATTGCTGACTTTAAAAAGGGAAGAAGAGCCGGGCTCCGTGGCTCAGCCTGTAATCCCGCGCCTTTGGGAGGCTGAGGTGAGTGGATTGCCTGAGCCCGCGGGTTCGAGACCCACCTGGGCAGTGAGACCTCATCTCTACAATAAATAAAAAAATCAGCCGGGCGTGGTAGCGCGCGCCTGTAATTCCGGCTACTCGGAAGGCTGAGGCGGAAGGATCGCCGGAGCCCAGCAGGTCGAGGCTGCGGTGGCCGGGAGCGGCCACTGCACTCCAGTCTGGGCGACCGAGTGAGACTCCAACTCAAAAAAAAAGAAGGGAAGAAGAAATGTGGTGGCCCCTAGACATTGGGAACAGCTCTCACCTGACACCCAGAAATGAAACAGGGATCTCAGGTTTACAACACAAACTGAATTATCCCCAAAATGCCAACGAGCAAGGAAATTGATTCTCTCCTAGAGTTTTCAGAGAAGAACACAGACCTTCCAACGACTTGATTTTAGCCTGGTAAAAATCTACATCTGTTCTGGTTTACTGAACTGTAAGAAAATAAATTTTGTTGTTTAAGCCACCAATGTCGTAGCAATTTGTTATAGCAGCAATAGAAAATGAATACAAATTCCCATAAAGGTTGAACCATGAAGATATATAAAGTATAAAAATTACCATATAATTGTGCTATTGGTGGTAACATCTAATACGAACGGTTTCAAACACAGGGTACCAGTACAGTTCAAACAATTTTTGCATATTCATCTAAATACTTAGCAGAAGTCCAGAATCTCTTGCCTTTGAGTTCGTCTCTCACTTCTGATATCGTCCAAGAACTTCAGAAGCTCCATGCAGTCCCCAAAGGGTTAATAAGCCCAGCTTCCACCCCCAAGCTGTTCAGGAACCTCCTTAGTACACTGATGCGTTTGCTTCTCTTTATCACACGATGTCGCTGTTGGAATGGATTCCACACAGTAGAACCAAGAAGATGCGCCCTCCGGCAGTGATGATGCCATACTAGCCAAAGCCAGCACAAGTTTCCAGGGTTCTCTAGGCTGTGGTCTTATTCCCTCCATGCCTGCTCTGGCCAAGAAAGCCTGCCTGGGTTCAGTTCCTAGTGCTCAACTGTCTGCCACTTCATAACCATATCCAGGGGACATTGCCCTGACTCTAAAGGCAGCCAAGTCAGGAAATTCCAAGGAATTCATACCCTTCTAACCCGAGTTCTTAATCTTTTAGGGCGTAGTTCCATTTTTTAAAAGGGCTTAATGCGGTAATATTTATTAATATCTTAAGTATT